TGGTGCTTGGGGCTGGACGACCCTCCCTGGTGGGGCTGTCCTGTGTGGAGTGGGACTGGAGCCACGTCCCTGGCCTCTGCCCACTAGATGTCAGTAGCACACCCCTCTTCCAAGCTGTGTCACCCTAAATTATCTGCAGACATCCCAACAATTCCCCAATGGTATAAAATCACCCAGACATCCCAACAATTCCCCAATGGTGTAAAACTATGGCTCCAGTGTGTCTGTAAACACAATGGCCTTGCCTCGCCCCCCCACTCTGTGTGATGGGTGTCCCCAAAGCCAGGTTGACACTGCAGAGGCCAGGCTGAGTGAAGGGACGCAGAAGAAGAATACTGATGCCAGAGCTGGACAGAGAGTCTCGGGCTGGGGAAGTCCAAAGACCTGCCTTTACGTCCTGGCCCTGGGAAAAAAAAAATCACTTAGTCTGCTTCCCGTGGTATTCCTTGTGTCTACTGCATTAAGACCTTTTTAAAAGTTATCATTTCTTTAGAGACAGGATCTCACTCTGCTACCCAGGCTGAAGTGCAATGTCATCATCATAGCTCACCACAGCCTCAACCTCCTGGGCTCAGGCGATCCTTCTACCTCAACTTCCAGAGTAGCTGGGACTATAGGTGTGCACCACCATGCCTGGTTAATAAATACATCCTCCTTTATTGTTAATAAAGTAAAAGCATGCTCTGGGGCGCCAAGCACATCCCTTTTTGTAGGCTTCCTCTCGGCAGGATCAATCCTGCTGGTTTATAAATTGCACGTAGGTGTGCAAAGCAGATCAAGGTTCAGTGGCCGCGAGCTCACGGACCTCACCTCCCAGGTGACCAGATGCAGCCCTTGATCCCAATTCTGTCACTTCTGTTCATCTTGTCAGTTCCAACCACACAGGCCACACTCGAATCAAAGCAGCATTCGTTGTCCTCTTCTTAGAGAAGGGAGAACATTGACTGGGTGCAGTGGCTCATGTCTGTAATCCCAGCACTTTGGGAGGCTGAGGCAGGAGAATAACTTGAACCTGGGCAGCAGAGTGAGACCCAGATTCAAAAACAAATAAATGCATACATGCATGCACACCTAAACAAAAATAATTAAATAAAAATAAAATGGTGTGTTTTTCTTTATTTACTTGCATCATGCTAGTTTATTACAGAAAATTTAGAAAAAAGGGATCATAAAAAAAGAAATTAAGAGTCTTCCATAATTCCACTACCAGAAATTCTCCCAGTAATTTTCTGTGCATTTATATATATATATGTATATATATGTATACATACACACACTTTATATATATATATGTATATACACATATACACACACAACATATATATTTTAAATCAGGATTATGCTATATTTAGTGCAAACTTTTGTCACTTCATAGAGTGTGAATATCTTCTTTGTTGTTAAATAGTCTTCTATGTAATAGATATGACAAACCCATCTCTAGAGATGCCACACTCCCCCCTTTTAACTGGAAGAGGCAGCCCTGTGTCCCGTGTCACCCCAACACATAGCATCCCTTCACTTACTCGGTCCTCAATGCCCCTCCCAACACCCCTGAGTGGACAGGGCCTGAATCTGACTCAAATTGGGTCAATCACATTCTCTCTCCCAGTCACGTAGAATTGGATCATTCCTGGAGATCCAATGTCTCCATCTTCCTGAAATTCACTTCACCTCATCCTCTCCAGGTCTGCTCTACTATTTTGCTTCTGTTTTTGATCAGCTTGCTCGACCTAGTCATGTCGAACCTGTTCCCTCAATGCGATGATGTCAGGAGGCAGGGCCTTGTGAGGGGATTGGGTCATTAGGATGGAGCCCAAGTGAATAGGATCAGTGCCCTTAGAACAGAGACCCCAGAGAGCTAGCTAGACCCTTCTACCAGGGAGGATACAGCAAAGGATGGCCGTCTACGAACCAGGAAACAGGTTCTCATCAGATACTGAATGTGTCGGCACCTTGACCTTGAACTTCCTAGACTACAGAACTGAGAGAGCAAATTTCTGCCATTAACAAATGCTCAGTGTATGGCATTTTGTTACAGCAGCCAGAACTGACTAAGACAGACTTAGTCTTCCTTTACTGAACAATGAGAGCTATTAGTCCTTGCAATAATACCCTTAAGGAAGGCTCCCACCCCTTTCTGCATCCCAGTGATACATAGAAATCACCTCTTCAGCTTCATACCACTTATTTCTATTTACAGTCAGGCAGACAACAATACCATGGTAGGCGATACTGGGGGTATCTCGAGGCAACAGGATAATTTATTGCCCTAAAATTCATTGTGTTTCTATTTGAAGAATGTGAGCAATGAGAGTTTAAGAATACATTTTTTTTTTTGAGTGGGAGTCTCACTCTGTCACCCAAGCTAGAGTACAGTGGCATACTCATGGCCACTGCAGTCTCCACCTGTTGGGTTCAGGTGATCCTTCTACTTCAGCCTTCCAAGTAGCTGGAACTACAGGCATAAGTATACATTTAATCTAAACATGGCATGGTAGCACGTGCCTGTAGTTCCAGCTACTTAGAAGGCTGAGGCATAAGGATTGCCAGCAGGTCAAGGCTGCAGTGGCTGTGAGCTTGACGCAGCACTTCAGCCTGGGCGACAGAGTGTGACTCCAAATAAAAAAAAGGAATACATTTAATCTATAGGAAAGTTATCAATACTGGTAAGAGGTTTTTAAACTTTCATATGCCTATTAAAATAGTAATTCAAGGTCAGGCTCGGTGGCTCAGCCTGTAATCCTTGCACTTTGGGAGGCCGAGGCGAGTGGATTGCCTGAGCCTGTGAATTTGAGACCAGCCCGGGGAACTTGGCAAGACCTCAACTCTACAATAAATCAAAAATTAGCTGGGCGTGGTAGTGCTCACCTATAGTTCCAGCTACCTGGAAGGCTGAGGGGGAGGGATCACTGGAGCCCAGCAGGTCAACACCAGGGTGGCTGTGAGCATGCCACTGCACTCCAGCCTGGGCGACAGAGTGAGACTACAGCTCAAAAAAAAAAAAAAAAAAATTAGCAATTCAAAAACATTGAGAAAATATGTAACTCTAGAAGACTCAAAGAATTTAAAAATGCCCTGGTAGTTGGGACAAGATCCTTGGTCTTAAGACCATGCTATATTTTTTTTTGTTTGTTTTCTTTCTTTCTTTTTATGCTATGGTTAAAAAAAAATCTTTTCACTTCAACTCCTCACTCGTTTGTTTGCTCTCAAGTCTGTAATTGTCCATACTACCTGGAACATCCGCTTTGTAATAACACCTTAGATTTCTTCTAACACACATTCATTTGCCAGTAAGAACAGCTTTAAGAGAGTTTACCTTCCAATGAAATTTTAAGAGATGCCAAAGCCTCCCACTTCCACTCCATCCTTTCCAGAAAATAAATATCCATTATGGATTTATTTGTCTGAATTAAGGCAGTGTCCAGATACCAGTATTTAAAATGCAGACATCCCTGTACGGAAACACATTGAACTGTAAATGCATGAGTGTGAATGCTCTCATCAGATTGTGCCGTCCAGTCCCCTTTCTAGGGGGAAGCGGGAGACATGCGCCTTACCAGAAAAGAATCTGAGAGTTGAATGGTTGCTAGGTCGCCCCTGGGAAGAAACAGCTGGGCTCAGCAGGAAAGCACCAGACACTTAGCAGGAAACTACTCTGGGCAAGAGATCCCAGGAGCAAAGGTTCCTGGGCAAAGTATCAGAAGTGTTGATAGAGTCCAGGACCAGCCCAGGCTGTTGCCAAGAGGCGACCCGTATCTTTGCATTTATTCTCTGGAGTTCTTGTCTCACCTTATGCAAATCCCGAGCTGTAGGGGACCTGGATCACTGTCCTGGTGGTGTGTGTGTGTTGGAGGGGTGAGGAGGTTGAGGTGGCCGGAATGGGGGACCTCCCATGGGGTCCTTGGCTGCCTCTGTGGCACTCGGGGCTTAGGGCCAGTTCTGCCTGCCAAGAGTCATACATCAGCAGTTGCAACCTGTTACCATGAAGGTGGAAGCCACAGTTATTTTTTGTGTCATGTCTTTAGCCCCCAGCTGAGCTCACGGTTAATGAGGCTCCGAGGAGACAGGGAACAGCCTGCTGAATGAGTGTGTCTGCAGGAAAGCATCACTAGAACTCGCCACTCTGCCCTGGCTGCCGCTGGGGTTTCGTGTTTTTTTTATTTATTTATAATTTTTTTAAAATTTTAAAGATGTGGGGCACAATTCAGGGCTAGGTGCACAAATGTTCATTATGCAGGGACTCTTGTTGATGATGTGTGCCCCCCTATTCCACTGGCAGAGTTCCACTAGTGCCAATCCTGCCTCCACCTTCCCCTGGCCGTTTCCCACTACTGCCAGTCTTTTTCCTTTCTGTTCTTTTCTTTTTTCTCATTAAACTTTGTTTCTTTTTTTTTTTTTGAGTTGGAGTCTCACTCTGTCGCCCAGACTGGAGTGCAGTGGCCACTCCCGGCCACCGCAGCCTCGACCCGCTGGGCTCCGGCGATCCTTCCGCCTCAGCCTTCCGAGGAGCCGGAATTACAGGCGCGCGCTACCACACCCGGTTGATTTTTTTTGATTTATTGTAGGGATGAGGTCTCGCTGCCCAGGCGGGTCTCGAACCTGTGGGCTCAGGCAATCCATTCACCTCAGCCTCCCAAAGGCGCGGGATTACAGGCTGAGCCACCGAGCCCGGCTTAAACTTTGAATGGATCTCAAAATTCTGTGACAGATTTTTCGTCAAGTTATTTCCATTAAAAAGTATTGATTTCAAAAAGTAATAATTTAAAACTGCCACACAAACACACACACACACACACACACACACACACACACACACACACACACACACAAACCCCAAAATGGTCCACAAAACATTCTCCTTTCCTTCTGAAAGTTTTATGATGCACTGTTTGTTATTAACCAGTCTTTTACTATTAAACTTAAATGGCCAATTGAAACAGTTTTGAGACCATTCTTCCACCACTGATTAAGACTGGGGTGGCAGGTATTGGGGACAATATTCATTTAGGCTTCTGAGCTTTGGGGGCAGACTTGGTGACCTTGCCAGCTCCGGCAGGCTTCTTTCCACTGCTTTGATGACACCCATTGCAACTACCTGCCTCATATCACAGATGGCAAAATGACCCAGAGGAGGATAGTCAGAGAAGCTCTCCACATACACGAACTTGCCAGGAACCATACCAACGATGGCAGCATCACCAGATTTCAAGAATTTAGGGCCATCTTCCAGCTTCTTACCAGAACGGCGATCAATCTCTTCCTTCAGCTCAGCAAACTTACATGCAGTGTGACCTGTGTGACAATCCAGTACAGGGGCATAGCCAGCATTGATTTGGTTTGGATAGTTCAGGATAATCGCCTGAGCTATGAATCCAACTGCTTCCATTGGTGGATCATTTTTGCTGTCACCAGCAACACTGCCACAGCAAACATCTTTGACAGACACATTCCGGACATTGAACCCCACGTTGTCCCCAGGAAGGGCTTCACTCAAAGCTTCATGGTGCATTTCAACAGACTTTACTTCAGCTGTAACATTGACTGGAGCAAAGGTGACCACCATGCGAGGTTTGAGAATGCCAGTCTCCCCTCAGCGCCCAGGGACAGCACCAGTACCACCAATCTTGTAGACATCCTGGAGAAGCAGACGCAAGGGCTTATCAGTTGGACGAGCTGGTGGGAGGATGCCGTCCAGTACTTTAAGCAGCATGGTTCCACTGGCGTGACCATCTCTATGGTGACTTTCCATCCCTTAAACCAAGGCATGTTAGCCCTTGACTCCTGAATGTTGTCACCATTCCAACAGAGATTGGCGCAAATGCTACTGTGTCGGGATTGTAGCCAATTTTCTTAATGTAAGTGCTGACTTCCTTAACAATTTCTTCGTATCTCTTCTGGCTGTAGGGTGGCTCCGTGGAATCCATTTTGTTAACGCCAACAATTAGTTGTTTCACACCCAGTGTGTAAGCCAGGAGGGCATGCTCACGGGTCTGCCCGTTGTCGGAGATACCAGCTTCAAATTCCCCAACACCAGCTGCGACAATCAGGACAGCACAGTCAGCCTGAGATGTGCCTGTAGTCATGTTTTTGATGAAGTCTTCGTGTCCCAGGGAATCAATCATAGTGACGTAGTACTTGCTGGTCTCAAATTTCCACAGGGCAATATCAGTGGTGATACCACGTTCATGCTCAGCTTTCAGTTTATCCAAGACCCAGGCATTCTTGAAGGAGTCCTTTCCCGTCTCAGCAGGCTCCTTCTCGAATTTCTCGATGGTTCTTTTGTCGATGCTGCCATATTTGTAGATCAGGTGGCCAGCAGGGGTGGACTTGCCCGAATCAACGTGTCCAATGATGACAATGATGTGCTTCTTTTCCTTTTCCATTTTGGCCTTTAGGGGTGGTTTTCATAACACCTGTGCTCTGGCGGCAAACTCGTGGAAAAGCCAATCCTTTTCTTATAGTATTAAGATCATTGTTCAAGGTCCGCTTATAAGTGAGAACGTGTAATACTCGGTCCTTTGTTTCTGTGATGGGGTTTCCTGTTTTAATGTTTTGCTGCCTAGATCAAGCCTCTGGGATTTGAAACGTGGTTCTTCTTCCTTAACTTGCGTTTGTGGTGAGTACACGACAAAGCATACTAGGTGGTAATGGGCATGCCAGGATGGATGAGGTTGGTCTTGTCCTCAAGCATCTTCCTATCCAATGGGAATATAAAGCGAGGGTATTAATGAATGTGAGAAGATCTGTAGCAAATGCTTGTGGTGCTATGCTGTAGGTAATGGTTTTCATCTATGGTTCCTGGCTTATAATTCACAAAGCCCTTTTACCTTCTCCTGACTCCCTTTCATCTGCCTGATAGCTTCTCCTGTCTTTTTGTCTATGGGTCTTCAGACCCACCCTAGAGACGGTCCTGCCCTTTATTCTGAAAGGCGGAATGCTGACGTTATGCCCCTTCCAGAAAAACCCAAGAAGACCAGGTTTGGGAGCTTCTGGGTAGCTGAATATGTGGAGGTTCCCATAGGATGGAACTCAGGGAAGGAGTGGGAGCCTTGTGTACTTCCCTCTATACCTCGCACTATGTGTCTCTTCATCTGTATCCTTTATTTTTTATTTATTTTTGAGTTGGAGTCTCATTCCTTCTCTCAGGTTGGAGTGCAGTGGCATGCTCACGGCCACCCCAGCGTTGACCTGCTGGGCTCCGGCGATCCTTCTGCCTCATACTTCCAAGTAGCCGGAATTATAGGTGTGTGCTACCACATCCAGCTAATTTTTTATTTTATTGTAGAGACAAGGTCTCTCCAAGTTGCCCGGGCTGGTCTTGAACCCTCAGACTCAGGCAATCCACTCGCCTCGGCCTCTCAAAGTGCTGGGATTACAGGCTGAGCCACCTAGCTCGGCCCATCTGTATCCTTTACAATAAATCGGTAAACACCAGTGTTTCCCTGAGTTCTGTGAGTCGCTCGAGAAAATCAAACCCAAAGAGAGGAGCTGTGAAAATCCCAGCTTGAAACCGGTCAGTCAAGAGTTCCAGAGGCCCAGACGTGCACCTGGTGTCTTGACAGTGGGAGCAGTCTTGGGGACTGAGCCCTCGACCTGTGGGATATGACACTATCTCCAGGTAGACAGCATCGAAATTGGAGGACACCCCTAGCTGGTCTGCTGCCTGGTGGTAGGGAGAAGCCCCCACATTTGATCACAAAGGTCTTCTTCTGTGTTGATGGTTGCTGTAACGTGAGAGCAAAGCACGGTCTTTCCCCAAAGCAATACTCAATAAGTGGGATGCAAATTTCAGTGGAGGGAAGAATGGAAGTAGTAGCTGGGGGTGTGTATGGGAAAATAGGAGGGTCAGGGGAATCCTGGAAGGTTTCATGAAGGAGCTATCATTTGCATAGGATCTTGAAGAATGGAGAGTTTGTCAGAGGCATAGATGGAAGAGAGAAGGAGGAGAAACTGGAAAAGGCAAAGACAATGGAAGGTATAATGTGCACCCCAGGGTGTGTCAAATAGTCTGTCAATGAGGTAGTTGGCTTATTTAGGGATGGTAACGGATAAATTTTTATAAGTAGGCAGTAAGGATTGTATAGTACAATTAATAAAAGGCTAGGGAGTTTGGAGTTTCTTTCTAAGGAAAGGAGGGAGCAACCATGCAAAGTTTAGAGTGGTGTTTTGGGGAGATAGGGTAGGCAGCTGTGCTGGACTAGAAACAAGAAGACCACTTACAGGCCTTTTATTTTTTACAGTAATTCAGCTAAGTAGGAAAAAAATGGCAGTAAGAAAAAAAGAGGCTGGGCATGGTGTCTCACGCCTATAATTCCAGGACTTGGGAGACCAAGGTGAGAAGATTGCCTACTGAGCCCACGGTCTGAGACCAACCTGGGCAACTTGATAAGATCTCATCTCTGCAGTAAATCAAAAAATGAGCCGGGTATGGTGGCTCGTGCCTGTAGTTCCAGCTACTTGGAAAGCTAAGGCAGAAGGATTACCTGAGCTCAGAAGGTCCAGGCTGCGGTGGCTGTGAGCATGCCACTGCACTCCAGCCTGGGTGACAGAGTAAGACCCTGACTCAAAAACAAAAAGCAAACAAACAAAAACCTCAAAAGAAAAGAGTGGAGGGGAAGAAACTGGGGTAGACAAGATATAGGTTTCCTGAGCACGTCAGCAAATCAGAAACAGTGACAAGGAAGTCACCAACAAAGTAGGATCTGGAAGAAGCAACGAGAAGCTGATGCAGAGGTGAAGATTTCCAGGTTAAAATGGCAGATTGAGCATAAGAAACTGGCTTTGCTCCCTACCAATAAAACCGAGCAAGAGATTAAAACACGAATGCCCATAAAACCACGTGGATGGGAACTTGAAAGACAAGACAAAAACAAAAGATTTTAGAAGGTGGAAATCAGACACACCAGTGGAAAACTGTTTTGGCACACCCGAGGAAGCTGAATCCCAAGATAACTGGGATTTACTGATGGCCAGGCCTACTTGAATCCCAGAATCCTAAAAGGCTCAGAGCTAGCAGCAGGGATCCATGGAACCGGGCAAAGAGGACAAAATAAGAAGCAATAGGTGGAACACTGTTGGCGATCTTCTTTCTCACTCAGCAAGGCCAGACAATTACCTTCCCGTCACCCAGGCAAAAGCTCTGAGGCTTCATATTTTAGACGGAGTAAAGCAGAGACACTGAATTGGGACCCACCAGGCATATTTGAAGGGTACAGTGACTGAACGCATACGGAATACTAAACGCTCAGACTTCCTCCCACCATCCTCTAAGCTTACGGAGCTGTCAGAATGCTGAGTGCCAGACCTGTCTGCTCCGTGCAAAAGACTGGAGGATGATGACTTGAAGAAAACCCTGGGATAACAAAGCGAGGGATTCCCCAACTCACAGTCCACCCAAATCACCCTGGGGTGAAGTTCAAATTGACAAGCCCAACCCACAGATACAGAGCTCCAATCGGTATTTGCATCCTTCATTCTTTTTTTGAAGTCAGAGTCTTACTCCGTTGCCCAGGCTGGAGCACAGCGGCACACTCACGGCCACCGCAGCCTCGGGCTGCTGGGCTCAGGCGGTCCTTCCGCCTCAGCCTTTCAAGCAGCTGGAACCACGGGCCCGCGTCATCCCATGCTGCATCTTTCAGTCTTGATCATGGCGGATCTTTCAAGGTTCACCAGACAGTAGAAGCAACTGTCTAACTTGGGAAGGGGAGGGAAAACAAAACCCAGAGGAAGCTAACGCTAGACAAGAAACAATGACTGAAACAATGTTCTCGGAGAAATTAAAGAAGATGTTGCATCCACACTCCCGGAGAAAAGAACAGAATGTTATAATAAAAGAGTTTTCAGGGAACAACAATAACAAAAAAGAGCTTTTGGAAATTAAAAGCATTTGATGGAAATGAACATTTTTGTTTATTTATTTATCGAGTTGGAGTCTCACCTTGTCGCCCAGGTTGGCATGTTCACGGCCACCCCAGCGTCGACCTGCTGGGCTCTAGTGATCCTTCCACCTTAGCCTTCCAAGGAACCAGATCTACAGATGTGTGCTACCACGCCCGGCTAATTTTTTTATTTATTGTAGAGATGAGGTCTCGTCAAGTTGCCCAAGCTGGTCTTGAACCTGCGGACTAAGGCAATTCACTTACCTTGGCCTCCCAAAGTGCTGGGATTACAGGCTGAGCCACCGAACACTCCCGAAAAATGTATTATAAGCATCAACAAAGTTGAGGAAATCTCCCAGAAAGTAGAGCAAAATGACAAAGCCACAGAAAACAGAAGAGAAAATATTTTAAAATGAGATGATCAACCCTAATTTGCATACAAGGAGTCTCCAGAAAGGTAGGACAGAGAAACAGAAGGAAGGAATCAACAACAGTCCAAGAAAAAAATCATACAACTGAAGGAGAGGAGTTGTCAGATTCAAAAGTTCCTCCAAATGCCCAATGGATAAAAATAGACCTATGTCCAAATAGACCTATGTCCAAATAGACAGAGATTGTATATCTCTGTACAATCTCAGAACACTGATGATAAAGAAGACTTTTACAGTCGGGCTCGGTGCCTCAGTCTGTAATCCCACGCTTTGGGAGGCTGAGGTGAGTAGATTGCCTGAGCCCGCGGGTTCAAGACCCGCCTGGGCAACTTGGCGAGATCTCATCTCTA